CACTAACGTCAGCAGCTCTATACGACTTAAATGCCGTTGTGAATCCCGGGTAAGATAATGACAGAAATTATAGTACACCATCGCCCCATCAAGTTTGAGGTGGATTCTGGAGCAGCATGCAGGCTCATCAAGGAGGACACTTTTCGAGCGACTTGGAGTGTGAACGTGCTAACTCTCCAGCAAGACGACACACAGCTGAGAAAGTGGTCAGGACATCCTCTTCCACTACTAGGTTGTGCCAACGTAGAGGAATACTACAACGGCCAGACCAACCATCTGCAATTGCTAGTCGTCCACGGCTCCGGATCGAGCCTTTTAAAGGGGTCATAGCACCTAATTTTTTACTATAATCTGTCGCGAGCTGATTAATCCTTGTATGTTCACAAACAGGCTGGCGAAGTTTGAGCGCATTTGGTCGAGCCATTATTGTATAATTGAATTTTATTTATAAACAAGCGCACGGCTTGGGAGTGGGGCAACGTTGGCACGCTCGCCAGCCGTGACGTAGAGAGAGGATTGCTGTGTGAGCGTCTGAATGTCGGAAGACTATTTGGTTTTATGGTTAGCTGCGCGGGCAATCGAGCTGTCTCAGCTTTGCTCAACTTGTCATTCGAACGATGTTACTTGCAGCGGTTGAAATAATACCACTGTGTTGCCCGTTTAGTGCTGTGGGGTGCCAAACAGTATGGAACGGGGAAAGTAAAGGGTCGTTCTTCAGGTACCCGAAGGAGACGCCAAGCACCAAGCTTGGGAGCTGAACATGCGCAGAAAGGAAAAGACAAAACTCTACCCGCTTTGCGAATTCTATTGCGCGAGGTAACACGTGCTCGTGAATGCGACGTCCACAGATACCCGTATCCCAGACGTGGCTCACTTTTGAAGAAACCATGCATGCTTCAAATAATAAAATGAGGTTGCTTACATGTGCCGGAGACCATCACCAACGTTTGCAGCAACGATGAGGTCATTGTCTACTGGGTTGGCCACGTCTTCTACGCTTTCGTCGTCGCTTTCGCTCGTGGCAATGGGGTCAAAATTGAAATCCACAGCATATATGACGTTGTCACTGCTCCTGTTGCAAGGGAACCCGCTGCCCGAATCGTTTGATGGTGTCGTCGACATGGTGATGGTACCACGGTATCACGCCACAACACAAATACCGCTCGCAACCAACTAACAACGTGGGGACAACGCGGCAAGCAACCGAGCAACACACTGACCGCGTAAGTAGGTGGTTGTTTGGTAGCAGACGACAGCATTGCTCCACGCCTCTACTGACGTCATGCATGCCACTACAAAATGGCGGTCACCGGCGGTGGGTGGAGTTTATGACCGACGATTTATACGGCTTATTGTACACTGAAAAAGTCTTTTAAAGTCCAGTTTTCGCGCGTGTTTATGCATATTTGATCCTCTACCTCCGTTACCCGCTGAAAACAGCAAATTGTTGGGTGACCGTTTCATGGCCCCTTGCCGGAATTGGTTCACCTCTCTTGGAGTGGTCGTTGGCGGAGTTAACCATTAATTCAGCTATCCGTCAGTAGAGCAGCTCCAAGAGAACTACAAGGCAGTTTTTTTTCGAAAAAATACCAGGAAGCAACGGACCTCCAGTCACACTGGAGCGGCGAGAAGAACGCCGAAATTTGTGAAAGCTAGGCTGGTACCTTTTGCTCTACGAACGTCAGTCGAGAATGAGCTGGACCGACTGCAGGAACAGCGGATCATCGAACCGACGTAACATTCAGAATGGGCTACACCACTTGTTGTCGTCCTAAAGAAATACGGTATCCTACGCCTCTACTACCGGTACCCTACTACCGGAGTACCGTCAACCTGTTCAGAAAGGCATCATCGTACCCACTGCCGACACCGGAAGAGGTTTTTAGCACGTTTTCGAATGTAAAAATTTTCAGCACCTTGGATTTGACGTAAGCCTACTAGCAACTGAAGGTGAGCGAATCAGCATCTGAACTGCTCGCGACAACCACCAGCAATAGTCTCTACAAAGTGAAAACGCTACCATTTGCAATAGCCGCAGCACCAGCAACCTTCCAGAAATTTACGAAGCCTACAATTAGCGGGATCCCTGGAGTTTGCGTCTATTTAGATTATGTTATTGTCGGAGGCGCCTCGAATGAAGAGCACACAGAACGGTCGGAGCTCATTCTTGAAAGGCTATCAAAGGCTAACTGGGCATCAGCAAGAAAAAAATGTTTTGCAGTGGCTGAAGTGAAGTTTCTTGGACATAAGATTGACGTGCAGAGTATTCACCTCACTGAAGACAAAGTGCGAGCAATCACTGAAGCACGATTGCCTACTTACAAACAAGAATTGCAGTCGTTCTTAGGGGTATTACGTTCTACCACCGGTGCTTAGAACATCAAGCTACAGTGGTCAACGATCTATACGAGCTCCTGCAGAAAGAAGTCTCATCGTTTGGTCACCATGCCACCAAGAGTCATTCATTGCCCTCAAGGAACTGGTACGTAAGTCTACGGTTCTGCGACATTACGATGAAAGGAGAACGCAACTGCTAGCCGGTGACGCATCACCATACGGAGTGGGAGCAATCCTCCCAAGCTGACGACCAGGGACGGGACGCCTTGATCGCTTTCGCATCGCGCACGCTATCGCAGGCAGAAAGGAATTATTCCCAGCTAGACAAAGAGGAACTTGCCATCGTCTACGCAGCAGACCACTTCCGACAGTATATTACTGGCAAAAGAGTGACCTTCATAACTGATTACCTGCCCTTATTGGGTATTATGATCCCCCAGAAACCAATGCCACAGACGTTGTCACAACGAATGACACGATGGTGTATTAAGATGGCGTACGATTATGAACTCGTACATCGAACTGGCAAGAAACACCAGAACGCCGACGCACTAAGCCACCTTCAGCTGAACACCCCAACAGACGAACCGCCCACGCAAGGTTATATACTCATGTTTGAAGTGAACCCTCCGCTAAAGGCCGACACGCTAGCGGCATCAACGCAGAAGTGCTCGGTCTCGAAGGAAGTCTAAGCAGCTATACAGGAAGGCAACGTGCACAAGCTAAGAGGTGAACAATTCAACGCCTACCGCAAGCGAGCTACGGAGTTGAGCACTCATCATGGCTGCGTCACCTTGGGATCGATGGTGGTGATACGTGCGGCACTTGCAGGCGTACGGGACCACAAAGATTACGCACACAAGAAGGCTAAATGTTCCTTTCAGCGAGTGGAAGAAAGAGTTCGGATTTTCAAAACTTTTTTAAATGGCCACGTAAACAGGACGACAGTTCATATATTGAATTCTTACAAAAGTCACAGTTTCACCGCAAGGGCAAAGAAATGAATGCGATAGCAACAACTTGGAATGTAACGCTGAGAATGGCAAGCAGATCGAAACGTTCAGAACCCTGCTCACGCACAAACTACGCCCAGAAATAACGCACACAGGACGAGAGCCAACTAACAACGTTTAGAGCGAGACCCTTAAGACACTGCCTAAACAAAACTAGCACGAAACGTAATCACAGGTACAAATATGAGCGCAAACTGACAAGTTTCCAAGTTGTTACTTCGCTGTGTAAAAAGCGCGCCCTTTTCGTTAACGGTGCCTCTCCAGCGAACGAAGTGATCTTTGTGCACCCACCAACTGAACGCAATACTTCGGGCCAAAGCCGAAGGTGGGCGATTCTCCCCACCAAAGATAAATGCACGGATAAGACCCCTTCCCCACCGCAGAGCAAAGCACGCGTTGGAGATGAGCATGCCTCTGCGTATCGTGATGAGCTTGGCGCCGACCTTTACACCGAGCGCGCTCGTCGCGTTATCGCGCTGGTAATGCTGACTAAGGTCCCTATATATATAAAGGTAGCGACAACTACACGCGCGCCCTCTGAAGGGGTCCAAGGAGCAGCGCTAGCAGACGCCGCTCCGCTCGCTCGCGTGCATTTTGCGGACGGCTGAAACCGCTCTCAGTGCGCGTTTGAACCGGTTAATTATTGCCCTTTGTGGCGTAAGCTTCCCAGGAAACTTCAAGCAGTAGGGAAAACGACTAACGATCCCGGGGCGCATGAAGCTTTGCAATAAAACGTTCGTACTTTCGAAGCATCTCATTCTATTGAACGGTGTTTCACAGCGGTAGTCATACGGCGCTTTTTTACGGTCGTTTGCACGATCTGAAATTCAGCTTACATTGAAGTAGAGACGATATTTGGGTCAACTGAAAGTGCTTGTTTTATAGTTCAAAAATATCGGGGGTTGTGAGCTTACCGAAACTTTAGAAAACATCATTGCGCACTGATTGCTTAAGAAACAAGAAATACCAAGAACGGACCTTTTATTGTAAGTTTCAAGTTTTAAAGCCACCCGAAAAAGATCTGAGAATAACAGCCGCCTCTGTGTGGTTCGGGCACATGGTAATAGCTCCATGAATACCTTGAATTGACAAAATAAAAGCAGCCTCTGGCACATTAACACATTTACATCTATGCTCACGTGATCTGGGAAATTTTGCATGAACAGGAAAACTGCAATAAGTTCACTTATACATGCTGTCGCATCTAAACATTATAAAAGGATGCCCACACCTTAAAAATAACTTTATGTGACACGTCCTGATGCGTAATGCACAAACGAAAGGCTGTTTCAAGCAGACGGGTCAAAGCAACTAAATGGCAAGGGGCACTCTGAGTTGCTCTAGGCTTTCCTATTCAGTGCTCAGCCAACACATTAGTCGTTTACCCTTGACAAAGCTCACATTATGATGACAAACAAACGCAATTGTATTGGGGTCTCGAGCTAATCACTGTGAGAAATACGGGATGTGAAACGTAAATAACTATAATGCGCAAATCAGCCACATCAAGAATGCCAAAACAATAACAGCGTTGCTGAGATAATGCCCATAAAACAGTATATACACGAACAAAGGCACGCCAGCGAGGCACATGGCTGGCTGAAATCTACGACAGTGTTTACATTTTATAAAAACCACGAAGTCACTTACCTCGCATAGCCGGGTATTTCCAGTGGGCACGAAATCCTTGCGCCCGATTCTGTGGAGCCATATCTTCCGTCTGCTGATGTTATCATCACCGCGAGGAATAGAAAAGAACTTCTTTCCATCAGTCGTACGGTTGCGGCAACCGTAGGCACAGCAGCCCGGCATGCTAGCGTGTCATGCTGCAAACGTCGAATAAAAACACGTAATTCCCGCGTCCACTCAAGGGAAAGATAAATAACCACTTCTACGTTGCAAAAACAATGCATCAGAGGCGCAAGAAATGTTTTTTAGTTACCGATACGTCCAATTCCACGCTCGGAAACGCAAACAACCACGCGATCCGCATGCACAGCGAACGACTGCTGGACCCTTAGGGCGGGGCGCGAAGGAGAAAAGGTCACGTGTCGCCAACCGGCCAATCGCGCGGCGAGGCGGCTGGATCAAGACCTTTCGCTACTTTTCGTAGATAGAGGGACTTTAATGCTGACAACACGCTGTTTCCCCCGTGGTAAATATAAATAGCTTGCCATTTAAACATTCGAGGAGGTGCTGCTTCGTGGCTCAGTGGCTACCGCAGCGCGCTCACGAACGAAAGGTCGGATGTTCCCTTCCCTGCGCCGGAGTCTTTTTTTCTGTGTTATTTTTCTTTCTTGCGTTTTCGTATATATAGATACGTATACATACATGGAGAAGGACGCCGGCGGTAAAATCGAGCCAAGTGTGTCCATGTAATTGCCATTGCGATAAAACTGCTTACAGACCGGCTGAGCTTTGGAAGTATGTGCAGAAAAGGTATAGCAAAAGTGGCGAGTCTTTCACAGTACTGAACTCAGACGGTGTTGAAGTGCATGAAATCGCTAACTGTTGCCACGCTTTTTCATGCTTTCATAGGGCCCCAGGCTCCAGCACCAAGATCAGGCAATAGCCCAAGGGAGTTAGCATATCTGGTGGTCTGTCACTGGATGAAAAGCTAATATGTTCATGCATTAGGTGTTTAAAACCATTCTTATAGTGTGACCAGGATAATTAACGGAAGTGCTACACTAGAACTGTATGTCAGCAGGCCCTTCGGAGCATGGCAGTTTGTTTACAAAGCATAAAGCAATCTACACTTTCCGTGACATTACCGGATGTTAGTTCCCAGTTATATTGTGTCTTACAAAAAAAAAAGTCGCCACTTTGCCGCAAAGGTGAAGCAATTAACGCGATAGCAATGAATTGGAAGGTCATGCGCAGAATCGTGAGCAGATCGAAACGTGCCACGTGTTTCTCACGCACAAATGACGCACGAAACGTACTCACAGGTACAGTGTAAAGCGAATAAGTGTATCAGTTGTTCATTCGCTGTGTCTGAAAAATGCACCCTTTTCGCAAACAGGAGGTGTGCAACGATTGCAGTAAGCTTCGTGCGCTCGGTAACTTTAACAGAATCGTTCCAGTGCCCCAACGCCAGCCAAGACCTATTATCACCCCACCGGGAGATTAGGGCGCGCGAGAGATCGTCCACTCTCCTCCTCTCTGCGGGCCAAAGTACGCGTGAAAGATGAGAGCCGACGCACGCTCAGTGCGCCATCTTGCTGAAAATGCTGAAAACACAATTGTTCCCCCCGAGATGCCCATCTACAGCGGTAGGTGGTAGATATAAATAGCTTGCTGTTTGAATGTTGAAGCAGGTACCTCTCCCTGGCTCGGTGGTTAATGGCTCGCACTCACGACATGAAGGTCCCATGTTCGATTGCTTGCACCGGAGTCTTTATTTCAGTAATCTTTCCTTGCGTTTTCATATATATATATATATATATATATATATATATATATACGCTCCGTCACATCACCGCCGACGCCGGCGGCGAAATCCAGCTGAGAGTGTCCATAAAATTGCTATCCAATTAATATATAAGCTTCTTGAAAGTTTGTATTTTCTCTTGAGTGTATGCTCACACTAAGCAACGCACGCGTCTAAATCATGTCTTACATGGCACACGCATCGTCATTTCATGTTGATAGTTGTCATTTGTGTTTGTCATACTGCAACGTTGCATAATACACATTTTAGCACATGAAGAGAATGAAACAGCTGAAAAGGCAGCTCGGCATGCACGCCATGCTGTATACGACATGCGTGCCATGATTTGCATGTAAGGACCTGCTTTTAGGGACGAAGCTTCTTAGGGTGTGGGTTGCCCCCCCCCCCCCCTCTCCTTCAGTAGTATGTAGCCAGCTACCTTTATTTTATGAATTGCTCAACAGATGGAATTCTGTGTGTATCTCCGCTAAGACCAGTTTAAGTTTGCGAACAGTTTAAGTAACCTCAGTGTGTGTGTGTCTATTGAAATTGGCTGGGATAAAATGGTTTATTATATGTTTTTTATCTTTGCCTTGTGTACGGTACCCGAGAGCTGCACACCCACTACAAAGGGCATACTCACAATTTTTCATCACGTGATCATCTTGTAAATACCGACTAGATGGCGTTTGTGGTTTTAGTGGGATGGTGCTTGTTTCGGGGGCAGACAGACAGGCACTTCACCTTACTCATCATCATTCCCTCTGTGGATATGCTGCAATTTTTTTGAGCTTCGTTATACACTGTCACGTCATATCAAGCTTTGCATATATCGAGGAAACAAAAGGACGGCACGTGCCTCATGAGGTTGCCATGCAAGTCATGTCGTACATGACATGCGTATGTATTGAATGTTCTGTTAATAGTTGTCATTATTATTTGGGATGCAGTAACATTGCATAACCCAAATTCTTGTATATATACAGTGCATGAAACGGCTGTAAAGGCACCATGAACGTAGCATGCAAGTAAGGCCGTACCTTACATGTATCTCGGAATTCACGTCTAAGGTTCAGTTATTTACGTTTGTCATGTAGTCATGTCATAGCTTGTCAGATTTCATGTACAGTCAGTGAACAACATTGTCGCGAGCGCACCATGTTATTCATGTCATGCATGACATACCTGCCATATTTTCTATGTTAACAGTCGGGATTTACATATAAACAGTCGTGATTTACATGTATGTAAACCTGCATAATACCAATTTTGGTATGTCTAGAGGATGAAACAGCTGCAAACGCACAATGAGCATGGCAAGCAACTGACGCCATACAAGTCATTCATGCCTTGTTTTACATGTAAGAGTCAGTTATTGATGTTCGTCATACAGTTGTGTCACGCCGTATGAGATTTGTTATATATCCTGGAAACTAAGCTGCTGCGAGCACACGATAAGCGTGGCATTGAAGTCATGACGTACATCATATCCATGCCATAGCTTGCGTGTAAGGGTCTGGTAATTGTATGCGCCATACAGTCATGTCACGCCATATGAAATTTTGTACATATCCAGGAAACTAAACGGCTGTGAGCGCGCCATGAGCGTGGAACATAAGCCTTGCCATACATGTGATGTTTATTTTTTAATACTTGTAATAAATATTTGTCGGCCCATAACATTGCATAATACTGATTTTAGTATATATCTAGTGAATGAAACAGCCCCAAGTGCACCATGACTGTGGCAAGTAAATCACGTCATAAATGGTACATTTCATAATTGTTAATACATGCTATTTATGCTCGTGAGACACTCTTGACAAGCCTATTTTTGGTATACTGTAAACCGAGAAACAGCCGCGAAAGCACCAATGATGTGGCATGTAGATCATACCGTTCAGGACATACGTGTCATCAGTTTCATGTTATGACCTGTCATTTATATTCTTCGTGCATTCCTGTCATATGCTTCAGCAATTTAGGAAATTCGTACCTTCAAGTCTGTATGCCACCTCGTACACTTTTAGTATGAGATCACTCAACACATAGATGACATAATGATTGTAATTAGCCCGCACTCCTAGTTATTGAGAATAAACAGTGAAAACCAATGATAACTTTGTTATCCAACATCTTGTCCGAAGTGTCCACATTGAAACACTATTTTTACTGTACTACATATGTGCTTCTACATTGAGAGCTTTCCCCATAAGCGTAATCAAATGGTTACATTAGTGATATTTATTAGTTACGAAAGTTCATATTTTTCATTGACATAATGTTCAGTACATCTACAGACTTTTGCCGCGTTTTCGCTATGATCATTGTCAACTTTCCCATTGACCAACAAGCGATTCTTTTGCCCCGGTAATGCTGCTTTCCAGCACTACCGATTTGGAAAAGCTCATCAGAAAAAAAAATCCACCCAGCGTAATCCCACAAAATTGCATGCAACTAGAGTGCAATAAACTAATAACGTATTGTTGCGGTACAATTATCTTTTCAAGAATGGCCCCCATACACTTTCAATGACTACACAAAAGTGTCTCGGGAAAAAATCCAGCCAGCCAATTAAATTGCGTTGTACTGCGTGGCAATATTGTCATCATTAGGTGAGTGAAGTGAAATTAGTACAAATTATCTTTTCAAGAATGGCCCCCATACACTTTCAATGACTACACAAAAGTGTCTCGGGAAAAAATCCAGCCAGCCAATTAAATTGCGTTGTACTGCGTAGCAATATTGTCATCATTAGGTGAGTGAAGTGAAATTAGCAAAAGATCAAGCATTGCAAAGTAACAATTTTTTGAAGAACGCTCCCATAGAAGAACGCTCCCCAGCGCTGCCCTGTGGGGTCGGCTTTGCTGCACTGTTAGGTGTCCCAGATTGCTGGACATGAAAAAAAATTGCCAGCATATCCACAGAGTGAATGATGGAGAGTGGGGCGAAGAATTCGCCCGCCCATTCGTTCTTGCTTCCGTCCGTCTGTGCGTCCGTCCGTGTGACCGTCCATGCGTCCATCCACCCGTCCGTGCGTGCGTGCGTGTGTCTGTTCGTGCGTCCGCCCTTGCGTCCATCCATGCATCTGTCTGTGTGTGTGTCCGTTCGTCCATCTATTAAACACTCCAAGCACCACCATCTCGCATCTTTTCATCATATATTCCCCATATAGAAGCGCCGCCATCCAGCGGACATTCCAAGCACTAAACGAGAAGTGGCACACGTACACTTTCTTACGGCTTGCGCTTGGGGTCTACTTCCCACCTTTAACCACCTCGAGTTCATGGTATATACTAGTTCACTGTATTCATGGCACTGCGGCCCAACGCTCGCTAAGCCTTTCTAAAACTAAGGAGGTTACACCAAGCGAGTATAACGTAGCAACCCTTTCTTGTCAGATAGCGCTCAATATACATGCCAATGGCTGCTGATGGAGATCGCATTGTGCGCGTTAACTAAAAACCGATTGCTCCTGTCTCTCATTCCCCATTATCACCTATTGGCATGTACATTGAGCACTATTTTTTATTGTTCAACAATGCACAAAAGCATCTCACCAGCACCACCTTATAGGTCAAAATGTTATACTTGCTACATATTACAACTACGAGGGACGAACGGGTGCCGCTATAAAGAGCTTTGCCCCTGAAAGAGCGATAGGAGTTCAGAGAAAGCTTGTTTTATTTGAAGCGCCAGGTTGTTACTCTGGCGGCAGTTCAGTGCCATTCATAGGCTCTTCATCGTCTTCAGACATCGGAGAGAGAGGACGGTCGAGGATCTGTGACCAACGCTGCTGGATACTACCGACAGCTTCTGCGAATATCTCCATGAAGTAGGGAAGCTGGTCCATAATACGATCGTAGTACTCTTCCAGAGCGGGGTACTTGTCTATGTCTACGAAGCCATTCTGAAAGAAAGCGAGCAAGCTCAATGGAGGAAACAAAAAGCAGTCTCGCTCAGGCTGTAATAATTTTGGAGTGTACCATGCCGAAACCATCACATAATTATGAGAAGCCGTTGTGGAGGGCTCCGAAAATTTCGACCACCTCAGGTTCTTTAACGTGCACATGAGTCAAAGCACATGGGCCTCAAGCATTTTCGCCTCCATCGAAAATGTGGCAGCCGGGGTCGAGATTCGATCCCGCGACCCACCGGTCAGCAGGCGAGTGCCGTATCCACTAGACCACCATGGCCGGTATCTCACTCAGGTTTCACTTTCGAGTAAAGCAAATATCGACGCAGGCCAACAAGATTGTAACATTTTGTATCTTGAGGTTACATTGACCCCTCGAACAAGTACAACAATAAAATGTGGCAGTGAAACGCGCGTGTAACGCATGACAGGAATTCCCGGCACTCAAGTCATTCTCCAACAAAAGCATCGCAGCATCCCAATGAATAGACGTCAGGTAAGAATTGCAATTGGTGGAAAAAAAATCACAGAGGCAAGTTTGAAAAGTTTGTCATTGAAGCACTCCTCCACTCCTACGGCTGCTAAGCATAAAGCACGATGTCAAAAACACACCCGTCGGAACCGTGCCCCGAAACAGAATGTGAGAAACGAGTGTCAAAGTGAATATTAGACGCATTGTGAAGGAGCCAAGTGCTTACCGTGAAAGCGATCGTCAGGTTGGCGATGATTGAGAGATCGGCGAGCGTGAGGCTGTCGCCAACTGCGAACGGTCCTTGGATAAGATGCTGCAACCCCTGAATGACGGTACAATTGAACAATACTTTTTCCTCAGCGGTGGGTTTTCTGTCTTCGCAGAAGATTTGGCGCTGAAATGGAAAAGAAACTAAGAATATATTGGAACTGTTCATGATGCCTTAAGGGCAGAATTTGAATTCTTCGAGCGTGTTTCTATAGAGTACACTTCAGTGTTGCGGAATGAGCACATTTATTTTATTCAAATTACATTCTAGGGAATCCAAACTTGCGGTAATTGTATTCCTTTCAACTCCTCAGAATGAAAAAAAAAGCAGCCCGTTCCCCATGGCCAGCAAGTCAGTTTCATTCCTGCAATTCCTCAACGAAGGAAAGGCATATAAGAGAAATGGCGATAAACCACCGCCATGCAATACCACAAATGCCCCACTATTAGACGTTGCACTTTCTTTAATGTGTGAAGCATCCACAACTAATCGGCTTCAAGAAACCTTACCAGAAAACTGGCGTGAAGAAGCACAATTGAAAATGCATAGACAATTGTGCCGGCACTTAAAAAAATTGAGGTTTAGCAGCCCAAAACGGCAAAACACTGCAGAAGGAACGCACACATTGCTCTGAACTCAGTGATTTAATAATGCGAACTCAACACCTTTTCAATGGAACGCATGGAAACAAATAGCGTAATGGAAAAAAACATTAAAACTTCGTGCTGCCTATGACTCACTCACCGACCAATTCGGCATATGTAAACCATACGAAATGTTACATACGGTAAATTAACGAAATACGGTAACCAAGCAAGCCATTTACGTTATAGCGTGCCTCCACCTTCACGGGAAGGCCTTGGTGCTTTGTAGATGCATGGATGCAGGTAAAATTATCCGGCAAAAGGAAAATGACAAGTACTTCAGACCTGTTAACCATGCTCGTAAGACCTTAATACAAGTAAGGTGAAACCACAGATCCTGCGACCATCACCAACCTGATTTCAATGACTCCTCGATTTTGTTTATATTACCTTAGTTAGATACAGCGACCACGTATTGAATAGCGAGGTAAATTTACGAACGTTATCTCATGAGTATTACTATTGGGCATCTAACGATATGCATGAGGCAGCATTAATATGTCACTTCTTGTGTGAGTGCAAGCGATATGGCAAACATGCGCTGCTGCGAGAACTTAAGGTTCAGGCCTTAAAAATGAAATTTTTGTGGGAAGCTCATGTATAAAAGCGCACGAGCATATTGCCGAAATTATGCACAAATTTGGGCCACTGGGTTGGCGGTGGTCATAGGTTTATTAGGTAACCTCCGACGGCCACTAATTTAGTGGACGAAATAGCCGAGAAGTCAACATACCAACGTACCCTTGGGCACGCCTGCATTTTCAAAAACCGGAGAATCCTACGTATAAGGTTGCTAAAACGTGTTGCACTGAGCTCGCGCGATACAACCCAATGGGAACGACGTTTTCCCGAATAAAAAAATATTCGGGTGCATGCGTACAGATATATCGTGCATAGCAGTAAGAATTCACTGTGCTCAAAGACAAACATAACAATATAGAGGTTGTTTACGTGCTTTTGTGTCCACCATTTTCAGTGTTGCGTAACGGTGTCGTGTCAACCTAAGCACACATATTAAGGAAAAGAAGGTACATGATGCCCTTATATAGAGCAACTTGGAGCACTACTCGTTGCACTTAATGTTTTCATGCTGCATTACAACCAATGAAGCTGTACAAACAATGCAGAAATAAGTAATACGGAGAGTGCTGCTACATAAGTAAACAGTGCACCAAAAAGCTGTGCCTGAAAAGAATATGCGTGTCCAGGTGGACTCGCCCATTAGATTACATATATAGAGTAAGATTTACGTAGTAGATTGTGTTCAAAACTACACTATAAATAAATAATTTACGAAGCATAACATCTTGACGAAAGAACCTAAAACAGGTTTGAAGGAACTTAAAACAGAAGGAACTTAAAACAGATCTGGGGTTTAACGTCCCAAAACCACCTTATGATTGTGAGAGACGCCGTAGTGGAGGGCTCCGGAAATTTCGACCACCAGGGGTACTTTAACGTGCACCCAGATCTGAGCGCACGGGTCTACAACGTTTCCGCCCTTATCGTAAACGCAGCCACCACAGCCGGGATTCGATCCCGCGACCTGCGCGTCAGCAGCCGGGTACCTTAGCCAATAGACCACCACGGCGGGGCCTTAAAACAGGTTTCGAAAACGAACATCAAGCAGGTTGCACTGTAAAGCATTTCAGTGACGTCCTTGCTCGCGGTGCCAGATAAATGACAACTTTCACAAGTAAAGGGTACCCTTAAAACAAAATTTTGAAGCTAAAGTTGTTTCGTGACAAATTTTTACTGCTGACAACACTTTGTTTGCTACTTTTGATGCAGAACAGATGGTAACTGAGTGCTGTGTTGTAGGGTTCCATCTTCAGCGCTGTCGATAATGTCGAGCTCCTGACAGCGACTAGCCCTATTACATCATTACACCTCTTGTATTGCCATTGGGTGTTTTGAATAGGAGCTGCTTCTGCTAACTCCGGCGTATTTCAGTTGTAATTTAAGTCTGTTGATCAGTTTCCGCTGCTCCCTTGGAGGGGATGGAAGTAGACCACCCCGGGCGCCTGCCGGCACCAGCGGCGACCGCCTACAGGAAGCGGATGGGACAAGCGAGCGACAGCGACAGTGAAGATACTCATGCTTACTATCTCAGCAGTGAGGACTTCTCAGATGACGGTTTCCAACCTGTGCTGAGCCGCAAGGCGAAGAGAAGGAACATGAGGACATCCTCATCCTCAAATATTCAAACTAAGTGAAGCGCCAAAATCGGACATAAGAGTGAACGCCAGAAAGAATATACTGGCTGTAGACGTTTTGCACGCAAGTGCGTTGGGCGTTCTGCGCAGTGTAACTGACTTGGACGGCAACCAGGTGCGCTCTCATGTTCCCTTGGGATGTGATGTAGTACCCGGTGTGATCTACGACATTGATGTCGCTATTTACAATAAGGACTTACAACTCCTTGTCAAGTCAACAACTGATACTCCAATTGTTGATGTCACCCGGCTAGGCAAGTCTCGCTGTGTCAAGATTGCGTTTAAGAGCACATCACTCCCCTCTCATGTGAAGGTGGGGTACTTCAGACATGCTGTGCGGCCTTTCATTCCAAAGCCTCTCCAGTGCCGTAAATGCATGAAACTTGGACATGCGAGCAGCGTCTGCGAGAATTCGGTGGTATGCCCCCGCTGCGCCGAGCACCATGAAGCGGATAAGTGCGTCGCAACTGTCAAGAAATGCTCTAATTGCAATGGATCCCATGAAGCCACATCAAAGGACTGCCCGCGGATTCAGAAGGAAATTGCCATCTTGAAGGAGATGGTGCGCGATCACTCATCTCATCGAGAAGCCGCAGCTAAAGTCAGAAGGCGTCGTTCACGTCGACGACGGTCTTCGAGGACGCCCGCTGCCTCCTCGACACGTTTGCGTGATCCCTCATCAGTACCACCTCCTTTGCCTCCCAGACCACATGCCGTGGGAAAGGCTGTAAAGGAAAAAGCCAGTGAGCATACCCTAACTGCGACAGAGTGGCCTGCACTTCAAAGGGAAGCAGCATCAAGCGAACCGAAGGAGCTTCATGACGGCCAGTCCGCGCTCCCGGTTCGAGATCTTTCCAACCAAGACAGGCAAGTGACTGCAATCGTCCCGGTTCGAGATCTTTCCAACCAAGACAGACAAGTGGCTGCAATCGTGCAATCATTAATTGCCACGATTCGCACGCTACTGAGCAGCATACAATCTCCGTCTGCTAAGAGTGCACTGCAAATACTGGATGCACTGAATCCAGTTCTTGCTAACTTCGTATAAGCACAATGGCTCAACAAAATCTCCACTTCCGCACTGAAGTTAAAAGTGCGTCGATTTTTCAGTGGAATGCCAGAGGCATGAAGTTCCGTATCTCGGACTTTCGCCAATTTGTTCGGGCCAATCAATTCCCTATACTTGTCATATGTGAACCAAACGTGTCAACGCCTTATAGATTGTCCGGTTATGAAGCTTTCTGTTCAGCCGCTTGCGAAGAACGAAGCAAAGTAATTGTTTACATTCGCACAGACTTGACTTATCTTTCGCACCCAATAAGTTCAAATGACGACAATCAGTACGTGTGTCTTCGTGTGAAGAAGAATGCAGTTTCGTTCACGCTTATTGGTGGATATATATCTCCGTCATCGCGATTTGACAGCGACAGATTAAAAGACATCCTAATGAGAACCGATGGGCCTTGAATCATCACCGGTGACTTCAACGCCCATCACATGCTTTGGGGGAGCACTAGGATGAATGCCAGGGGCCGAACATTGTTACATTCGCTTCCGATTACGACCTTTCCATCATGAACGATGGTACCCCCACATATCTGCGGGGTCTCACGTATGGCAGTTGCCTTGACCTGACATTGGTGTCACGGTGCTTCTCTCACAAAGTTAAGTGGTTTTGCGATATTGAGACTCATGGGAGTGATCACATACCCACCTACGTGACGATCGATGGTATCATAAAAAATTTCTCTTCCGGTGTTGCAATTGGCACTGACTGGTCAATGTTTGCATCGCGTGTTGAGAACGCTTGCCAAGAAGGCCTCGCCTGCAGCCTGGAAAATACCATAGTGGAAGCTATGCAAGCGTCCAAATGTAAATTACCATTTTCGTCTAAAGTAACACAGTTTGACATTGAACTGGAAAAATTACGAGCTTTACGAAGGCGTGCTGAACGACGATACAGACGCACAAGATCAATTTACGATCTGAGGGAAGCAAGGCGGCTCCAGAAAAAGATTCAACGACGCATTTACAAACTGGAGAGCGAACGCTGGAAAGCATTCTGCGAATATCTAGACCCTCATAAACCGCTGTCATATCTCGAGAACAGTTCGTGGTCTTCGCTCCTCTCCACAACGGCACCTTTTTAAACCTTTGGCACTCCATCAGGGAAAAACAGAACTCGAGGTGGCTGAAGAATTTTGCACGAGAGTTGCCGGGAATATTGTGAACGAGAGCATCGACGCCGTGATCATTCCTGAGACGCGATTACCAGAAATGAACATTCCAATCACCATGGAAGAACTGGAAGGTGCGTTAGTCGCTTCTAAGCGCATGTCATCGCCAGGTCCTGATGGTATTACTTATAGTGCATAATAATAAGGGTTGCAGCGCGAGCACGAATGTGCTAGAAAAAACAGACGAAAGTCGAGGTATGGAAGGCAAAGAGGACAACACGAGCGCTGAGGACAACACGAGCGTACAGCGCTCGTGTTGTCCTCTTTGCCTTCCATACCTCGACTTTCGTCTGTTTTTTCTAGCACATTCGTGCTCGTGCTGCAACCCTTATTATCATGAACTCAAACCAACTAGCCCAAATCACCATTCTACTTATAGTGCGTTGGGACACCTTGGAGAAAAAGCTAGAAAAGAACTTTAAACATGCTTCAACAACTCCTGGCTCAGCGGCAATATTCCTCGAGAATGGAAAATTAGTCGATTATTACCACTTTTGAAATCGGGAAAATCACCATTGGACTTGACAGCGTATCGCCCTATTTCCCTCGCAAGCTGCCTCGGAAAAGTGATGGAAAGAATGGTTCTATTTCGTCTCGAGTGGTACTTGGAACGATACACCAAATACCCTTCTTGCATGGCAGGCTTTCGTCGGGGCCGCTCCTCCATTGACTGTGTCCTTGATTTATCGACATTTGTTCAACAAGAAAAAAGTCGCAAGCGCATATCAGTGGCACTCTTTCTTGACGTGATGGGTGCATATGATAATGTAGCTCACGATGCCATCCTCACTTCTCTCGCAGCAATGGGTATTGGTGGACGAATGTTTCAATGGATAAAAGATTATATAACTGGCAGAGGTTTCTTTGTACAAACATATGAGGGTACAACTGCCCAACATTACACCTACTGCGGAGTACCTCAGGGAGGTGTTTCAAGCCCCACATTGTTCAATGTGGCCCTCATTGGTCTGGTGAAGGTTCTGCCAAAGTCGGTGTGCCTATCCATATACGCCGACGATATTTGCCTCTGGAGGGCTGCAGTTACTCGCCCTCAGGTGCGCGCACGAATACAGCGGGCAGCAACCCTCACAACAGCCTACCTTCAGAAACAAGGCCTAAATATATCAACTGTGAAGTGCGCGTTGATGGCGTTTACACGCAAACCAATGACGCCATACCCTGTTTACATCAATGGGCAGAGTGTCAAATATGCACGGACGCATCGTTTCCTGGGCATAATAATCGACAGAAGTCTTTCGTGGAGCCCACATTGTGCGTACTTGAAGAAGAGACTGCTATCTATTGTGCATATCATGAAATTCTTGTGCGGTAAAGCATGGGGAACTTCTGTGGCCTCCATGCTACAGCTGTACAGGGCCCTATTTCTGGGTCTATTGCGCTACAGCTTGCCGGTACTGACTAACACTTGCAAATCGAATACTCATTCATTAGAGAGTTTGCAGGGTCAGGCACTGCGTATCTGCCTAGGACTGCCCCGATGCGCTTCTACTTATGCCACAATCATGCTTGCCAAAGACCATCCGGTCAGGACATATATAGTTGTGGATTGCCTCAGAGCGCACATTCGACATGCTAGCCGTGTCCCCGACCACCACTTGGCCCTTATACCTTCCGGAAGACCACGTGCTACGTTTTCAGACGTCATAGCCAAGCACCTAAACAGCATTCCATCAGGATATACGCCAGCTGCGAGAACGGCATGCCCTTTGTGGTGCCTTGACCAGCCGCAAGTACGTCTAGAAATTCCGGGAATCAAAAAGAAAAGCAGTCACTCCAGAGTAGCATTGAAGCAAGCAACACTGCTATTATTACATGAGTTGTACTTAGACCGAACGCAGATATACACTGATGGGTCCGTCTCATCCAGCAGCTCATCAGGTGCCGCTGTAATTCCGGCTGCAGAAATGACAATCAAGTTTAAGTTGTCGCATATGACTACATCTACGGCATCAGAGCTTGCTGCTATAAGGGCTGCTTTACAATATTTCGTTCAAGAACGTCCAGGAAAATGGGTCATATTCTGTGATTCGAAGGCAGCGCTTCAGAGTTTGCAGTCTGCCATGCGTAGGAGGAGCCATGACCAACTGGTACAAGGAATAAGACATTGCCATCATGAAGCTCTAGCACGAGGGCATGATATTATATATCAATGGCTGCCTGGACATATCGGTATTACCGGAAATCAACTAGCCGATGATGCAGCCTGCTCAGCCCATGAAGAAACCCGTGTAGTCCTGATTCCTCTATCAAGGAATGATGCAGCAAGACAACTTTACCTGCTGGCTCGAGATCTCACACGCACGTTCTGGTCGTCTACCAGCTTCCAAAGGTGTCAATTTTATGAACTGGATCCTTCGCTCAAGCTAAAGCTACCATCACAACTTTCCCGTTCCGATGCGACACTGTTATGCCGCCTTTGGTTGGGTGTTGCATTCACAAAGGTGTACTCCTTTCGCATTGGTATGGCAGACACTCCTACATGCGACTACTGCGGAGATGAAGAGACCATCGAACACGTCCTCTGCAGCTGCGCTTGCTACGACACACAGCGATGCCAGCTACGGATGGTTTTGAATCGACTTGACCCCGGACCATTTTGTGTGCAGAAGATACTAGGACCTTGGGCATCTGCCTCAGTTGCGCCGAAAGCAACTAAAACACTGCTACTTTACCTTATGTCAACAAACCTGAGCGACCACCTGTGAACTCTGTGCTCCCCGAGTGTGCTCGTGATTGTGTGTACCTTCTCATCTTTGTGCAACCTCTTTTCTCCCCTTTATCCCTTCCCCAGTGCAGGGTAGCAAACCGGATGTGCATCTGGTTAACCTCCCTGCCTTTCCTTGTATCTTTATCTCTCTCTCTCTCTCTTGTATTGCCATATAAGCTGCACCGAATGTTAAGCGTCCGACTGAGAACGGACCCTTGGCCTCAAAAGCCGAACTGACACTCTTCTTCCGAGGCGGCTGCCGCACAGACACTTCAGGTATGCTATTCGAACTATAGTTCTAAACGATGGACGCATGCGCAATCGCCGCATAGCAAGTGCGAGAAAGTGCGCACGTGCTAATGGGTTAAAGCATGCAGGCAAGTAGAAAAGAAACGCAGTCTTTCCTTCTCCACTTGTGCAGATACCTCGCCTCAACACCATAACATCATGAAGTATTTGCTTTGTCATGGTGATGTCACTGCGTCGATGTATCCATGCACTCGCACATACACCTAACATATGGGGGTGTAATTGGCATGAAGTATTGTTGCACCCCACTGCGGTGGTCTAGTGGCTAAGATACACGGCTGCTGACCCGCAGGTCGGGCGGATCAAGTCCGGGCTGCATTTCCGATGGAGGTAGAAATATAGGCCCGTTTGCTCAGATTTGGGTGCATGTTAAAGAACCCCAGGGGTCAAAATTTCCAGAGCCCTCTACTACGGCATCTCTCAATCATATGGTGGTTTTGGGACGCTAAACCGCGCATATCAATCAATCAAATCGGTATGGAGTGTTAGTGCATCACCTCTGCATGGAACCATAAGTTGAAAAAGAGTAAAGTAAGAGTATACTTGCCAACTCTGATTATGCTTCAGTTCACAATATTCATAGCTCCACTGAAGTTACGCTTCATGTACGGTGCTACATGCTAATTGCGTAACTTTTCTTTTCACCCAGCTCTTTGAATACGTGCGAATCGAGTTTGTTCCTTCGCGTTTGTCAGTCAACAGTAACGGTCAACAGTAAGAGAGATGGCAGCGGTTGTTGCTAGAATCTATTCAGCACTCACGCAATATTCCACAAAGTGAGGCCGAATCGTGTTGGAGATGGTAGCCAGGACCTGGTCGATACGGGCGCGTTTCAACGGGCAGTCCGGGTACAACGGCGAATTAGGGGCGTACTTGCGCAGCAGGTAATAGGTGATGGCAGTGCTGTGGAAGAAGCGTGAACACATGGTGCGGGAGATGTAATGTATGAACAGTGTGAAGATGGCTGGGGAGATTACAGTATGCAATTGCCAGTTGTCGAACCCATGACACATGCGGTAGATAAAAGTGAAGGAGAACGACGTTTAATCCACACACAGTGAAGCCCCTGTTGATTGGTTAGGTACAAAACCAAAACGAAGTGAAAGCATTGAGCCTCTCCTTCTTGTGCACCTGTGACGCAGTGTGTGTGCCCTAGAAACAAGTATAGACTAAATAGGGAGCAGAATGTGAACAAAGTTTTTTGTACCTTTCGTGAACAATAAATCCATTATCATCCAGCGTCGGCACTTTCCGGAATGGGTTAAGCTGCAAGGAGTATAAAAAAGTAAAAGAAGAGCAATGATTTGGCAAGCAAGTAAACGCGCTTGGTTCGTGTGTTGCAAAAATATCTTTTGAGAATATGACTACTGGTGTTTGAAGTCCCAAAACCACAATATGATTGTTATGGAGGCCATTGTGGTGGGCTCCGAAAATGTCGACCATCCAAGAACGAGGGCCTCCGCAGACAGGAATGCATTCCGTAACCTTTGGGCCGGCAGCCCAGCACCACAACCATATGAACACCGAGGTAGCTATCGATCTAAAAGTAAATCTTTGTGCATTCAAAAAGAACTCAAAGACGCCTGGCACATCACTCAAAGACGCCTGACACAACGCGGAGTTGCGGTACACGAATGAACATTGCGCACACATCCAGAGATGAAGAGGTGATCAAGCGGTTAAGGTGCAGATCCTTAATCCCAAACAATTAATTTTGTGAGCCCTTCCTCACATAGGAAAACCTTGGCATGATACTGTTGCAGTCTCGTCCCCGTCAGTCAACGTCGTACGGCTTCGCGGTCACAAGCGATGGCACACTCATACAGCAAGTCGTGTTTCACATGTTCAAATCGATGAAATCACCCCGCTCACATCTTACTCTATGCGGGAGTAAAAGTGTGCGGAAACTGGGACGAACGCTGATGAAGACAAAACGAGCCTGCAACCTCCGCCGTGAGAAATGCACATGCCACCACATTGTTCCGCGTGTGAGGCTGGGCGTCTGCGGGTCCTCAAGAAGAGCAGAGTCCTTGAAGGGGCGCCTGTGAAGGGAAGCTGAGGCTTTTGAAGGGCTTTCGAAGGGGCATAGCTCGAGCTACTACTTCGAACTTCGACGATGAGGTCCCGGCCACGAGTGCTCACGCGTGCGCTATCAGAACAGACATCAGTAGACTATTTGTATACCGCTGCACATGTAAAGTGTGAGCATAAGTGTGCAGACCACGGGATCATGTGGCCAAAGGCATCAACGCGCTATCAAGCGACGAGACACCTGCAGTGGTGCACATGCATGTCCCATTGTATCAGTTGGCCTCCCATGTCGCTCTCTTTAAAGCGCTCGTATCCAAAACGACAACTGCTTGTCGTGGTCTTCGCTGCCTCGAATTTGTCGTATTTTCCTTTTTAAGGGGTGAAGCTTCTCAACGCGTTGGTCTGTTCGTCCTCCATGGTCGAACATAGCCACCGGTGGCACATACTCGCTCTGGAGTGGGTATGTGCCACAGGAGATGCGAGATGGCGGTACTGGGAGTGTTCACTAGATGGACGCACGGACGGACGCACGGGCAGACGAATGGACGGACGCGCTGAGCGGATATGTGTCACAGGGGATGCGAGATGCGAAATGGTGATAGTTGGAGTGTTCACTAGATGGACGCACAGACGAACGGACTGACAGGCTAGAAGACGGATGAGACTGATGGATGGGCGCGCGGACGTACGGACGGATGGACGCATGGATGGTCACGCAAGGACGGACGCAAGGACGGAGAAGCAAGGACGGACGGAAGCACGAACGGGCTGATGGACGCTTAGCTCCACTCATCATTCACTCCGTGGATATGCTGCGATTTTTTTTACGTAGAGGCTGTGATGGCGATGGTTCTAGCACCGGGCTCGCGTCGTTATACCAGTTTTATAAGCATAGCTAAGCGTAGCCAGTTCGTAAAACTTGATGAAGCCAAGCACAGAAGTTTTCTCAGCTCAGCTTCCCTTTGTTTCGTTAGGCCTAGTTGAATTTAATGATGATACGGGGGGTTTTAACGTCTCAAAACCACTATTTGATTATGAGAGACGCCGTAGTGGAGGGCTCCGGAAATTTTGACCACCTGGGATTTTTTAACGTGCACCCAAGTAGAAGCACACGGGCCTACAACATTTCCGCCTCCATCGGAAATGCAGCCGCCACAGCCGGGATTTGAACCCGCGACCTGCGGGTCAGCAGCCGAGTGCCTTAGCCACTAGACCACCGTGGCGGGGCGACGTTCGTGCCGTCTCAGATCCGTGCGCTGGCCGCTTGGGCGAAGCGGCCATTCGTAAAACATTTATGATAATTTCTTTTTCAAAAAGTCTGTTCGTGTGTTCTGAAGAGGCGCAAGGTAAGCTGACTGATGCCTCAATGATAAGACAAAACTAAACCGGCACAATTGAAATGAAACTTTTTATTACACATTTCGTATAAAAAAAACGCGTAGTCTGAAAGTGTCAATCTATAAAACAAGCTTTAACGCCCAACTGACATACGGACATAATGAGCAAAAATTTAACCTAGAATATCCGAAGTAATGCAAAAAATAACAATCGCAAGTAGGACACGTCGTATTTGGCTCAATCAAGTTTGTAATGACGGCGCACACTGTTTTTTTACAGAACTTTGGTACCAAACGAGACTAAAGTCCAGAGGCACGGAGAGGCTTGAAGCAATTAGAAGTTTTTTGAGAAAGAACGTCACTGCAAGCAGTGTTTCGGCAAGATGGCTTGTCTTCGTCAGGGCAACGGCATTGCTGTGACGAAGAAAAGTTCACTTGTCAAAACGTTGGCTCCACGGACATTCTCTGTCAAAATATTTAGACGCATTTAGTCCACGTGTATTGGTGTGACAGTATTAGAAGTAAGGACTCAAAAATTTTCAAACAGAGACTGCAACAGCTTTATGAGCAGGAAGCAGCCTATAATCCCCTGACTTCATTTGAACTACACGTCCAAAGTAAAAGAAGCCGAGAGAACTCGAATTCAAGTCTCAAAGCATTTTTCTGACATGAACTTGCTGCCGTCTTCATGAATTAGACAAGCGACATGGCCCTTCTGTCAGTCCATTCAGGCTTGCAGAGAACTGCGGGGTTTACTCATGTAGTATTGCAAAATCAATACCTGCTCAAATGATGGGACCAAGTTCTTGCGCTCACTCGTCTCTAGGAAACACCGAGAAACTTTCGCGGAACTCGAAATCACCGGGTAATCACACTTCAGAGCCGTGGAAAACATGTGCTGCCCGATTACGCCATCTTCGACAAATGCTTAATTCACTTGTTCGGCGTAGCTCCATAGGTAGCTCACTGCGGCTTCCGTTCTCTTCTCGCCATCACTTGCTGTCTATCTTTCCCGCAGTTGGCATGCACGCCAACCAAGCGCGATAACTGAACGCTATCCAACTTCTAATATCACTGACTGAGGGGTGAAAAGGAGAGGAGGCAAGCGCCACGAAGTCAAGTCAATCACTTCCCGTGCTTCGCCTTACTTAAGAGAGAGAATAAAATGAGGGAAAGGCAGGGAAGTTAACGAGAAATTGGTTTGCTACCCTGTACTAAGGGAGGGAGAATGAGGAAGAAAATGGGAAAGAAGGCGAAGAGCGAAATAGACGCACGAAAAAAAAAGTGAGCTGGGGTTCTGTAGCCTATTCAATAGGCCACTACCACGCAAAAAGTTCAATAAGGCCTTCACTTATTTGTTTTGTGCGAAGACAGATCATTTCAAGCACCGACTTGCCTTCTTTACAGGGGTATTAAAAGTTCTTTATTGGTAAAACTTGTGAAAGCCAATAAATGCGAACATTCACATCAACCTCACTCTGTTCAATCGGATCCTAGGATGCCCGGCAACCGCTACGAGCGTGCATGTCCCTTGAATACGAAACTAGTGCCGAGTTTCCGGGGCCTGGTATCACCTGATAAATACGGGCGTAAGTCTATAAGCCCAGTCCACGTTGCTGTTTTCATGTTAAGTGTAGTAAAGCTTCGATGGGCCCAGACGGGTTGAGAAAAGTACGCGTACAGCCAAATTCAAATGAGCATAGTTGATCATGCTAGCATTTAATTTAGCCGAGCAAATTACCCCAATTAAGGCAAACTCTACTATGGCCAATTAATCCAAGTAAACTTCCCCATGAGTCTGGAGGCACCATACATCGAAATACACTAATTACTCATTTACTATACATATTAAGCTAATTTATTTTTAAATAGTGTTACTTAAGACGCACACAAGTTATGGCTAATCAGTCTGATATCTAATCACACAAAACATACTCGAGTTTCACGTGGCATACTAAGGCTAATTACGCATAACTAAGCTAATGATGCAGCGCCAAGGTAAGCATAGAAAAGTCTGACTAAGTATAGTTGATCATGGCATCGTCATACTATTGCAATTATATTCAGGTGTATTTAAGCAAGCTTGTATAAAACAAGAAATAATTGATCCTAAATTTATATGAGCTCAGAGAATCGAAGCTGAAGATGCTAATTACTAATTACCAAGTCTAATCTCATTCAGCCAAATAAATGTCTTTAAACGAGTTTGATTACGTCTTCGTACTTATTGCGCTTCTTTCGTCATAACTAGGCTCATTTAGGTTTAAATTCTCCTAATGCAACAATGGAAAGCTGAGCTCAGAAAAGTTGATTTTCTGTGCTTGGCTTTAGGTTTTACGAGGCTGACTAGGCGTTGTTATGCCAATAAACCGGTATAAATGAGGACGCTGGTTCGGCTCTGGAACCCGCGCCGTCGCACCACTACGCAAAGGAAAAAATAAATAAAAGAAGTGCGCAAGATTGATGCAGCAAAGACAGCGGCACCCACAGTCATTTTGGCTACGAGCGCGTAGGAGAGAGCGGCATGAGAGGCCATCTGTTATCACGGGACGCGCACGCTCACCGCAGAAGGCGTCTCGTCAGGTATCGTCGCTAGAGAGCGCGTCGATGCCTTAGGCCACGTGATCCTGGGGTTTGCACACTTATGCTCACGCCTGTACGCGCTGTGCGTTACCGCCAAATACTTCACGTTGATGCAACATACAGCTGGAAAATGGCTTCAGTCGATAGCGCGGCCGTATCTACTTACACCAGCCTTTCGTAGTGACACACGAGATCGCATAGTAAAAATATGTATGGTATAGTTCATAAAACAATCCGATTTGTTGTTGTCGCATTCATTGTTTCGCCCTAGCGGGGAAACTTTTTTTTTTGTTTTCTGCGCGAACATTGACTGTACCTAAATGACTTATGACAGATGTTAAGAACCGAAGCCGCTTAATATGAAAGGAAGTGGTGACAAGCGGATCAGCGACGAATTATGAGCGTCGCTGCATAAAAGATACGCCTATATGTGAAGCAAAAAACTTAGCAGATCTATAAATAGTAAACTTATTATTATTATAATAATAATATTATCATTGTTATCATTATCATCTATGTTATCATTTTCAATATTATTATTATTATTATCATTATTATTATTATCATTATGATCATCATTATTATTATTAACATTACATGGGGTTTTACGTTCCAAAACCAATATAAAAACGCCGAAAGGGGGGCTCCTGAAATTTTGACCATCTGGTGTTCTTCAACGTGCACTGGCATCGCACAGTGCATGGACCTCAACTATGTAGGCTCTACCGTATCAGAGCTTTACACGCAGGCTGTTATCGCCTGTCAGGTACGAATCAACGTACAGTACCTTAAAGCTAAGCGTACAACTTCGCAATTTCCCACTACATTTTGCAATGCTTGATCGTAGGGGTCAGTGCAGCAAGCGAATGCGCATATAGAACCCTACTCGCGTGTTGAAACAGTGCCATTTAGGGCTAAATAACGCACATTGGTTCCCTTGGAACATCGTAAGTTCAGGCCACGTTGGCCGGTATCTTGAGGGACCAGATTCGTCGTGACATCACTTATCTAAAAAAATTGCATGTGCCATTCGTTAATTGATGTCGCGTTTGAATCCTCGTGTACTGTGCGTTATGGTTTTCCTCCAGAAGAAAATTTACCCTTGCCGCTGGCAACTTTGCTGCCAAATCGTGAATGGTAATGCTGAACCCCAGCTGATCAAGCGTCGCATGATTAAATCCCACGTCTCTAGTGGAAACAGTACACTCAGTAATCGAAAGATATTCATCAAGTGCAAAGTCAGATGCCCTTCCTTTTATTTTGTTATCTGGCACTGCATGGGGAGAAGCTTCCGCTTTAAGTGTACGTCATGATGCGCCAGGAATATTTGCAGTGAAACTTTGGCGGTTTCCACGTGGCATTCCATCACGTGCTGATCGCTAAATCAGACGCACAAAAAAGAAGCTTCAAAAGGACATTTTCCTTCTTAGATACGTTTTAAAGCTTGTACTTAATACAGCAAGTGAAACCAAGCAGATACCTGACGAACAGATAACGAGAATGACCTTAAAAGTTATGCAAGCGCGCGCATATAGGCATACTATCACCAGTGCCATTCGTTGTGGCCTTTCGCGGTACTGTTGAATTTTAAATTCTGCACAAGCACGCTGATTATGAATTAACCAGTTGAACAGGCGTGCATGCTCTTTTATTGGTTCCTAAGCGCCTACGTAACTGGGATAAAATAAAAAACAATGGAGTCTAAGCCGACGTGAACGGCTCCTAGTAGGATGCAAAATATGTACCACACGAATAATAAATTTGCAGGAACGCATCCACAAATCACTGCCGCAGTGGCAGAATTTCCATGGAAGCGAAATATTGGAGGCCTGTTTTCTGGTATTCAGGTGCAATAAACAGCCCAAAGTGGTTAAACTTTATCAAGCCATTCTCTACGGTGTCCCTCAAACGTACTTTTGGAACATAAAACCCTGCCAATTATGTACGGGACTATAACAACGTGGACGTGAGCTGAATGCATGAAAGCCATTGACAGCTTATAGGCAGCTCAGTGGCAAAAAAAAACTAAATTAAAGTGAATGCCCACACGCATGAATAACTCAATTTGGTCCATGCTTTCACAACTGTGTTGACTTCGCGCATAGTCACTCTTGCTCTGGCCCATTTCCCTTTTGCATCGTGGCTGATCAGAATTTTTTTCTTGCGCATGACAGTTGCTATATATCATTTCACTTTATGCCATTCTAAGCGCGAAGGAAAGTTCAGTCATGAGTACTATATATGACATTACACTAGTCTGATTATTGCCCGAATTCCGAAATTAACTAGAATGACTGCGCCCATGACGGCCCGTGATTCGATGTGCTGTAGTGCGACCGGCAGCGAAGGTTATAATGATGATGTCCTCAATAAAAATAAAGAAACCTGACATGAGGGTGTTAGAAGATAGAGATATAAAGTGGGGAGGTGGGAAAAGTACGCATTTGCGTAAAAGCGAAGGGGAAAGTCAAACCAGATGAATGTTTTGCACAGTAGAGCTTGTAAAGTGGATAAGCGGGGTTACTTATTAAGTTCACGGGGATCTTGCCGTAATGCCTGTTTAAAAGATTTCAACCAGTCGAGCACTTCGACTGCACTAGTCGTAAGTGAAGGTAATTTATTGAAAGCCCGTATGATGTAGACAGCATGGAGAATCAAGGTATTGCACCTCACCGAGTGGAACAGGAAGCACGCCTCTGAGCTGCGTGGCAGGAAACGGCTGCACTGGACTGTTCATCTCGAGCACGCACCTAATGTTCTTTGCGACGCCGCGTTTATTTATATGGCGCATGTCGATAAGTCCGTCGAGGCCCGTGCCTTTAGGTTGAAAAATGGGTGGCTGAACACTCGAATATGGCCTGAAATACATTTCTTGCAAAAAAAAAAAAAGACGGGGGGGGGGGGGGGGGCTAAACTAACACTATTTCACCGTTTGTCCCTTTGGGATGAAATGTATTTAGCACCACAGTGAGGACTACCTAAGCCATCAACAATACGTTTCCGTCTAGAGAAGGTTCTGCGGGAATGAATTGACTTTACAAAAAGACACTCAACAAGCAAAGACGTAGTTAGAGAAATCGAATTCAGAGTAAATTAGCGCATAAGTAAGGAAGATCACTGATCTATACCGAGCAAACGTCGGTCTGTATGCAATGCAACATTGCATTTGGTACAAATTCAACTGTCAGCTTTCGCTTACGAAATTTTTCCATGCCTTGGCAAGAGCTAGGCTACGCTATTCAACGAAACTTTCCACAAACGCACCGTCTCAAAAGTGACTGGCGAAAAAACGATGAAACTACGTAATAGTGACCGTGAGCCTCCGTTTTCTACTTCTTTTTGCTTGGTGATTGCAACTTGCACGTTGCATAGAAAACATGACTGCAAAAAATCTGGTAGGAAATGACACGTGAACGTGCTGGAATTGACCTCAGCACATGTGCTTGAGTAAAGGCAACAAAAAAAAAACTATGCAACATTACACTTCTATTTTGAGTCTAATTGCTCCGAACCTATGACATTACTTGAGCAATTGAATTGTGCGATTAACTTAAAGGTTCCAACGAATACTTGACCTCGCATCAGAAGCGAAAATACAAACTTTGAAAAAAAAACTACACCAGTAGCGGCGACAGACCTTCATGTAATCCTCGGTAAGGTGCTCGTTCTTGGAGAAATCCAGGTTTTTCACACATAGCGCCACGTTGAGGTGCTTCGCCACACAACGGACGAAGCCACACGTGGGGCTTGTCGGAACGCTGTAAAGCTTGGCAGACATTGCGGATGAGCGCAGTAACAGAACCAACCTTCACGCACTACGTCCGCGAAGCGAATGGCCAAGTGAAGATGCCACGCGCAGACCTTTTTGACAGGGGGCGTATTCAAGGCTTACGATGTGTCGATGCAGGCGCCCCCGCTTTAAGTGCAGCGCACGCGCAACGAGCCAACCCAGCTCGCCTAGCGCTGGTGCGCGATATGGGCGGTTCCCAGCTTTACTGGATAATACGCTGAGCTTCATACTATCATTCATAGCATTCATACTACCAATCAGGTAATAAAAAAATTCGCAGAATACAACCAACCACTATTATCGCCTTTATTGATTACGAGAAGCTTTTATTGATTACGAAAAGGCATTTCATTAAGTAGAAATATCAGCAGTCATGCAGACACTGCGGAATCAGAGTGTCGACGAAGCATATATAAACATCCTGGAAGAAATATATAGGGTATCAACTGCCACCATAGTGCTCTATAAGGAAAGCAACAAAATAACAATCACGAAGGGTGTAAGGCAGGGGGATACGATCTCGCTAATGCTATTTACCGCGTGCTTACCGGAGGTTTTCAGAAGCCTAGAGTGTGAAGAGTTAGGAATAAGAGTTAATGGCGAGTACCTTAGTAACCTGCCCTTTGCCGTTTGACATTGCATTGCTGGGTAACTCAGGGGACCAATTGCAACTCGATGATTAAGGAGTTAGACAAGGAGAGCAGAAAGGTAGATTGATTGATATGTAGGGTTTGACGTCACAAAACCACCATATGATTATGAGAGACGCCGTAGTGGAGGGCTCCGGAAATTTCAACCACCTGGGGTTCTTTAACGTGCGCCCAAGTCGAAGCACACGGGCCTACAACATTTCTGCCTCCATCAGAAATGCAGCCGCCACAGCCGGGATTTGATGCCGCGACCTGCGGGTAAGCAGCCAAGTACCTTAGCTACTAGACTACCACGGCGGGGCAGCAGAAAGGTTGGTCTTAAAATTAATCTGCAGAAAATGAAAGTAATATACAACAATCTAGGAAAAGAATAGCGCTTCGACATAGGTAACAGTGCACTTGAAGTTGTAAAATACTACGTCTACTTAGGGACAGGTGATAGCTACGGAGCTCAACCACGAGATTGGAGTAACCAGAAGAATAAGAATGGGTGGAGCACATTTGGCAAGCACTCTCAAATTATGACTGGTAGATTGGCACTATCATTCAAGAGGAATAGCTGCATCTGGCCGGTACTTAGCTATGCAGCAGAAACATGGAAACTTACAAAAAAGGTACAGCTTAAATTGAGGACGACGCAGCAAGCGATGGAAAGGAAAATGATAGGTGTAACCTTAAGCGACAAGAGAAGAGCAGAGTAGATCAGGGAACAAACTAGGGTTAAGGATATCATAGTTTAAATCAAGAAGAGGAAGTGGACATGGGCCAAGCATGTAGCGCATAGGCAGGATAACCGCTGGTCATTAAGAGTAAGTGACTGGATTCTCTGAGAAGACAAGCGGATTAGGGGATGACAGAAAGCTAGGTGGGCAGGTGAGATTGGGAAGTTCGCGGGTATAAAGTGGCATGCAGCAGCAAGCACACGACCGAGTTGACTGGCGGAACATGGAAGAGGCCTTTGTCCTGCAGTGAATGTATCAGGCTAATGGTGATGACGCTGAGCTTCGCAGAATGTTGATCCTGTGAAGTGATGCTGTTGTTCCTGAGTTTGTCAACAAGGTGGGAACAATTATGCTCAATAAATAATTGGTTATGTCAACGAGGTTGCCATTTCGTAGTGCATCCACCAAAGTAAGAAGCGGTGGTCATTACAGGCACTAGAAGTTAGAATGAATGCCTTGCTATCTATAGAAGTTTTGTAAATGGCCCATGGGCTGGTTTCCTCAACAGGAATCAACCATTTATGAGTTGTAGCGGCTGATTTCAAAAGTCATATCCATTTTGAACGCAGTCTGACGGCCACATATATTTGGAACTATGCGTTCCTAAATCAGATGAACTGCGGTGGCCTAACTCTAAGCACTTCGAAGTTCGATGCGCAAACATGAACTTTTCAGTGGAATATAAATGCACTTGCTATCTTAAATATCAAAGCACCTATCTAAACACCGCGACTGGTGGGAGTTTTGTCGGGTTTTAAGGGCTATATGATTACGAAACGCGAGCATGCGATACGAGCATGTGCAGTGGGGGTGTTGACGACACCACCGACGCCAGATTTGCGAGTGGGTGAGACTATAAAACGCTTCGCATTTAAAATAAGTTGCCCCTGCCTGGCATGAGCCCCAGATTTTCAACGGCATTGTCATACCCGAGCTCAGCCTATGAACAAGGCTGCGCATGGGTTTTCGTGCTATCTCGGAGTCCGTGCAATCTTCTACATCTCATATTTTCTGCTCTATTATACATACACATTCATTTCGTGCCCTTATTTTTCGTTAGTATGGCTTCGTGGTTGTAACGATGAAGCAGGTAAGAATTAAACACTTTATTGGGCGAACTTGTGCTCGGAAAGAAAAGAAGTGATATAATTCTTGCTACGTGTACGACTGGAAACTCGTGCAGCGAGCATCGGCTTTTGATTGATATGTGGGGTTTAACGTCCCGAAAGCGCTGTATGATTACGAGAGACGCCGTAGTAGAGGACTCTGGAAATTTCGGCCCCCTGGGGTTCTTTAACGTGCACCCAAATCTGTGCACACGCGAGAGTCGGCTTTCTTGGTTGCTGGTGCTTCTCTGCTGGTTAGGCGGTTCTCGGTGCTGGTTGGGTGGCTAAGTAGTAGATGGTTTTTATCTTTACACTAGCATTTCCTGTGTTTTTCATTATTACACGCAGGATTATTTTTCATTTTTTATATAGGCTTGAGGCTGCACTGATGTCTCGGAATTTTCCGGGTCAGGGTCATTTCCTGTGTACCGCCTCGCTGCACGATCATGATTTACCTCTTTACTTGTTTCTCCGCAGTGGCGGCAGCAGTATTCTCGTCGCTCTGGTACCTTTGGGTGGGCTCTTCATTAAGCTCAATAACCCTAAGGCGATACAAGAACATCTATATGCCATGACTCCTAACTAGCAGAGCATAAGCGACGTGCGGCAGTTTGCTCGCGGTGGCATTGAATGCCGATCACCAGATCAGCAATGTGTAAATGATCTTCTTAAGTGTTCTTCCTTTGCTTCGATCCCGGTGAGTGCGTATATACCGCAACATCTCGCATGCACTAAAGGCATTGTACGTGATGTAGATGCACAATTAAGCCATGCGGAGACGATCGAAAAGCTTTCTGTGGCAGGTGTGGTGGCAGTTTACCGGTGTAATTGAATGGTTGATAACAAACAAGTTCCTTTAGAGTCAGTGATTGCGACTTTTGCAGGTACGTCGTGCCCTTCAGAAATTAAAGCATGGTCATTAGTATTTAGAGTGGATCAACTAACGTCACGCCCATTGCAATGCTAGAAGTTTGGAGGTTTGGGCATAGCTCTCGCGGCTGCGAATCAGATGGGCGATGTCGTAGATCTAGTATAGGCCACTCAGATCGAGTTTGTATGCCCCAAGACGACTTGTGTTGCTTGTGGGTGGACATCACGCAGCTGACTTCGCCAAGTGCCCGATGCGCCATGAAGATGTAGGAATTCTAGAAATCTAAGACAAAAGGAGATGCTAGAGCGAGGAAGCCATTGCAGCTTTGAAGAAGAGAGCCCATGGCTGTGCTGGCTCCACAACACGTTAATCATGACAGGAGACTAATACCGCGTAGGCAGTTGAAGTAGCGTTGGGAAGAGGTATGGCTACAGTAATGGACCCATTGGTAGCTAGCTTCTCCGAATGCATAGCACTAGTGGTCCGTGATCAAATTGCCAAGCTCTTGATCCCAGCTGCTCTGGGTAATTCTGAGCCCCAGTAAAATACCGACTGCCAGTGATGCTAATGCAGTATGTAATGATGAGGTGATTATTGCGCATAACATCCAGATCTCCTCAGAGTGCATGTCGAACGTTGAACAAAAACAAGTGTTCTTGTTCAACGTTCGACATGCTCGGGCACATAAATGCAGCTGGTCCCCGTTGAACCATGATGTTTCTACTTGCCTTCCGTCTAAACCAAAAAATACTATGGCTAGTAAAGTATTTAAAAAGTATTTTACAATTCTTACACCAATATATCGTCCCTGAGAGTTCTGCAGTGGTATTTTTGCTCTCTATTTGCTGCTATTACTGACTTACATTGCATGTTTGATAAATTAAATCCCCATTTATTCTTACTTCAAGAAGATTGGATTGCTACAGATACCAATGTTTACTTTTAGAATTACCATTTGTTTAGACTAGACCACCCTACGAGAGGTGGTGGAATAGTCACAATGATTTGCAACAAGCTTTGGCATAAAGCCAAGTAGACATTAAAGCTCCTCTCCCCGGCATACGAAATATTGGTTGTAGGCCTAACTCTCCAGACAAGGCAGGTTTTGTCAGTAGTAAAAGCTTACTTTTCTTCAAACGTACATGATACTTGGCCATTAGATACTCTTATATGCACGTGTGGAGAAAATGTTTTATTAGCCAGTGACGTACTCCCATCATGTTACATGATGAGTAAAAACTGATACGTGCGGCAGTCGGTTGTGGCAATGGGCCGAAGATAATCATTTTTATGTCTAAATTCGGGAAGCCCTACATACGGGCGCCAACATGCCTCCTCAGCGCTGTATTTAACTTTTACAAGCTCCAACCTTATTGGATAGTCATTGATTGCGCAACGAATAGCGGCCGTTTACCGATAACTTTCGAAATAGAAATTCAAATAGCCTCAATAACCTCTTTTACTGGAACACATATAAATTACTCCAAATTTGAGGATTCCATTCTTTGTTCCCCGCCTTCTCTATCGGATAAAAGCACGAAGTCGAAAGCTCGGAGTATATTTTCATTGTTAAAGAATTATCGCGAGAAATATGAATTCAGGGTGTCGTGAGCTAATCACAGCTTGAATTCTCCTTGGTGGAATGATGATTGCTCGAGAGATTATAGACGAAAGAAAGCAAGAAAGCAGCATGGAAAAAGCTTTTGTACAATCAGTGCCCTGAAA